ATTCATTTGTCTGTTATTAGTGCCTTTATTTTCTCACTGAAATTTGGGATGTTTGTGTGGGGTATCCGGTAAATGGCACCGATTGTTATAGGCATCTTAAGGTTTTTTACAGTAAAATTAACAAAAATGTATTCTCCATATTCATCACTAAAGCAAGTGGTGCTAATACAAGATAATTGGTTAAATAGATTGCAGTACCACCCCCAACTTGGTATGGTCTGCAGTTGTGGATTGCTGTGTATCCTGGTAGTGAGTAGATATTAATTGTGTCCTGCTTAAGCCAGGTCTCAGTAAGAATAATGCAGGAGAAGGGTGTCTTTAGTGATTCAAGGAGTGCCAGGAGGTCATCATAGTGTTTGCTTAAGGACTTGATGTAGTTAAGTACTGATACTTTAAATTGTTTAGGATAGTGCTGGCTTGTGATGCTGTGTAATAAAGGCAGTTACTTTCCAATAGGTTTTGATTGGGTCAGATTATGGAGGTTTAGATCAGGGTCAACGTGATGAATCTAGGTTTAAATTATGGTTATTTATATCCTGAGTTCTAGTAGTGGTGGGAAGTTTGGACAAGTATATAGCTAGAGTATTTTGGTCATAGTATAGTCACTAATACACAATTGCACTAAGGTCAAATATAATGACCTTGGTATAGTCTATGTATTGAGCTAGAATGAGCTAAAGTACAACAGTTTAATCTAATATAAAAAAGGCACAAGACAATTGTAATTGCACTAAGTTGTTTACAAGAACTAGAGTATAACTAGATTTAAATTGACAAGATAAGGTAGCAAATTTTTTTTTTTTTTATCACACTGGCCGATTCCCACCAAGGCAGGGTGGCCCGAAAAAGAAAAACTTTCACCATCATTCACTCCATCACTGTCTTGCCAGAAGGGTGCTTTACACTACAGTTTTTAAACTGCAACATTAACACCCCTCCTTGAGAGTGCAGGCACTGTACTTCCCATGGCAATGAATCGGTTATAATAAAAGTTGTAATTGAAAATACTAGTTTATAGAAGTGTAGAATAAAAATGGGCATTAAAAAAGTTTACAATAAGTTTGGTCAATATAGTTTAAAGTAAAACTGGGCAATAAGATATTTTAGAATAAAATTGGGCAATAGAGTATTTCTTAAAGTGAGGTAGAATAGTGGAGGACAAGTTATGGTTAGTTTAAGATAGAACAGTCATGTGGTAAGAAACCTGGATTTGTTTTACATGGTAGGATTGCTGGCATTGTCTCAAGATAACGGGTACATCTTTTTAATACGTATACTTTTGCAACATATGGGACTCGAGGAAATACTGCCACAGTGGCTTCATCAGTCCACTACAAAGGTGTAAGGAGAGGATTATTATAATCAAGGGGGAAGCACTAAACCCGTAGAATTATACAGCGCCTATGGGGGGGATGGAAGGCATTCAGGCTTAATTCAGGGAACTGGAGCACAGATCCAATTCCCTAGATCAAGAGCCCCTCACCAGCGTCAAGGAGCCTTCCTTGAGGGGTGTAAGGAGAGGAAAAGTTTGAGGTAATCAGTAGCTCAGCCTTTAATGAGTATTCAGTCCATTCTTGGAGAAATGGACTATACTGTATGACAGGCAAGTGGAACCATCCACTAGTTTAAGTATGTCTTATCCAAAGATTGGAAAAGTATTTAAGAATTTTTTATCAAGATCCCATGACATTTCAGTGTTTAACATTAAGGTTACTCTTCCTACTTTTACTTCAGCTTCGATGTATGTGTAGGGTGACTTATCTTTATAGTTAGTGTTCATATTACTTCCATATTCATGGGGAAGTGGAATAAGAATCTTTCCTTCATAAGCCTTGCAGAAGCAAACCAAAATTATGGGTTAGTAACCTTCCTGCATAGCTTACCAAAAATAAGAAAACTGTCAAAGTGGGAAGTTTGAATGAAAGATTATGGATGAAAATCTGAACAAGGGAAGGGAGATCTGGTAGTTTGGTGGGGAGAAAAGTGATTAGGCAAGGGGGTTTCTAAGACCTAAGGAAGTAATAATTGTAATCATGGGGGATGGGGAGCACTAAACCCATAGGATTATACAGTGCCTGTAAAGGGGAGGGGGGGATGGAAGGTATTAATATTCCATTTAGTGAACTGGAGTGCAGATACAATTCCCGAGCTCAAGAGCCCCTCGCTGGCATCAAATGAACCTCCAGGAAGTAGTAATAATGTTGAAAGCATCTGTTATGGTAGGAAAAGGCATAAATTTAAAATTTCAAGGATTGTGTAGCAAGAAGGGTTGGATGCGAGGAGTTATACGAAGTATTAATGTATCAGAAGAGATGTGTAGGATAAATTTTGGAGGAGTACATGGGGGAGTTTTGAACGAAGCCAGGTACTTGGGACCTAAATGGTTGTGGATAAAAACAGAGCCAAGTAAATCTGGTGGGCCAGAGGTAAATTAAAATGTTGGGCCTTTATGTATGGAAGGGGGTTTGATAATAGTGCATTATGAAGATGTAATACAGCACATGAATGTAGATTATAATAGGTTGATGGGGTAGTCTTCAAGATGTGCACATTTATGAAGGGTCAGATATTTTATCAGTTTGTAGGTACAAAGAAGGGTAGAGAGCAAACTTTAAATGCTACAGAAAGTAAGAGGGCAAATGTTATAAAGGGCAAAGTGTTGTAGAGTATTGGTAGTGATGTGGGCTAGTGCAAATCTAGGTAGAGATGGGGGCATTCAGTAGTGGGCTGGAGTTTGAAAAATGCAGCATTAGAAGGCAGAGCAGAAATTTGTGGCAGGAGAAAAGTAATTGGCAAAATGATTAGGTAAAGGGTGCGAGAAGACGACACTTTCACAAGCAAGTGATGAAATTATAGTGGGTGAGGTGCTAAAATTTGTTTGAAAAAAAAAGTTAAGAGTAGGGAATTAATGGATTGAAACTGTAGGGGCACTAGTAGATGGGGAGTCGAGGTATTGGGAATATTTAGGAAGTGTTAATGAAGAGTAAGTAATTTGATGCACTGGCCAGGGAGGTACATCTCTTGGTGTGTAAGAGGCAGCCAAGTGGGGGGGGGGGGGGGGAAGAGGTAAGAGGCATTGTAGAATGAATTGGGGTAAAGTAGCTGGATATGACTTAGGAGAGATGTTAAGGGATCTTGATACAAGTAATTAAACACTAAACCTTTGGAGACTTGCTAGTCGATGGTTCCACTATGATTGCTGCCTCCTGCTTTGACTGACTACAGTATAGAAGCCACTTCTAATGGCCCCATCCTCTCAAGGAAGGTTCCTTGATGTTGGTGAGGGGCTCTTGATTTAGGGAATTGGATCTCTGCTCCAGTTCCCCAAATTAAGCTGGAATGCCTTCCACACCTCCCCCCCCCCCCCCCGGGCACTGTATAATCCTCCGTGTTTAGCGCTTTCCCTTTGATTATAATCTTAATCATGGCCCCATGCTGTACTTCCCACAAAAATTAATGTACTTAACAGTCCATGCTGAGGGACCAATTGCCTCAAACTTTTCTTTGCACCTTTCTGCTTTGTATTTTATGAAGCCACTGGCAAATGCAATGAAAATTCTCACGTGTTGTAGAAGCGAGAATCTTCAGCTAAGATTAGTGAGAGTGGTTTGTATTTTAAAGTAATTTATATGGTAAGGTACCTAGGGATTGGCAAAATAGGTGCTATATAAAGGCAAGGCGACATTAAAACATTTAGAGGAAAAGGAAAGTTTCCCCGAGTCAGCCAGGTAAAGTATGGGAGAGTTAAGAGTAAGACAACAGGACTGCAGGTAAGTTGCCTGCAAAGTAGAGGATGTGTAGATGAAGTGTTAAGTTTTATTTTTAAGAACATAGGAGGTAGTTATAGATTTAGACAAGGCAAAAGATATGGTGGATAGGGGAGCAATGTGAAAAAAATTTTAAGTATGGAAAAGGCACCAAGTTATTAATGCTGTGAAGTTTGAGTATAGGAATGATCAGGTTAGGGGGGGGGGGGAAGAACAGATTAAGTAGGCTTTAGGCATGTGCAAGGTTTCCAATGGAGAATATACACGGGGTAAAAAATTAAATTAACACTAGGATATGAAACAATAAATTGGGCATCACATTAGAGGAAGTAGGGAAGAAAATGTGTAGAGGTATTTGAATGTTAAGTGTCAGCAGATGGGTTTATGAAGGAAAGTACAGCAGTGCTTTAAGGTAGCTTGAGACCTCTGCCTCCATGGATAATATTGCATCACATGCACATGGGGTCAAGCAAGAGTTTTAAATGCTGCAGGAAGGAGGCAGTGGGGTTGTCTCAGGGTAACGTGTGTAATTTATACGAGTGATATATAGAAAGAATTTTTTGGAATTTCTATTGTGGGAATTAGGAGGTATAAATTACTAAGTGTTTATCAAGAGTGGTTGAGGTTTTGTCAGAGGATGGAACAGTGACAAATTGAAGTAATGCAGGTACGTGTACTAGGAAGTATTTTTTTTTTTTTTGTTCTGAATTAGAGTGTAAGGAAAGTAATTTTGAGAAGGTACCATGATAGCTGGATTTTAGCCTTGGAGGTGGGAGGTACAGGATTTTTTTTTTTTTTAGAATGGAGTTAGAGATGCAAGACTGAGTGAAGAGTACTTTTTAAACTTTGTGAAAGTAAAAGTCATTACTTTCCACTTTGGGCCATCATACCTGTGGGTAAACTGCCGACATGAAGGGGTAGTTGTATGCAAGTTACTGGAGTTAAATTAGGAAGTTGTATTCCATGGTAGTTAAAGTATATTGTCGAAGCAGTGAAAGGCTGTCAAACTAATTTTTGAAATTAATTTTAGCCCGAAAAGTTAACTGTTAATACTTAAAGTGTATGGCTTGTTAATAAAATTAACTAGGGTTTGACTCCCATTAGTTTTGTAATTTAACGGAACATAGTGGTTACAGAGTAAGATTTGCCCAAAAGATAAGACAGTTTAGTGAAAGTGGTTATACGAAGTAACTTCAAAAAGAATGTTTGTACAGGCGAATGTAAAGGTGCACCTCCATATTTTATTTATTTTAATTCGTAGAGATGGGAAGACGCAAGCCAGTGGAAGGCCTTTGTCATTGGCCTAAAAGGTTTGGGTTTTGTTTGAAGCTGCAATGACTATAAATAAGTCACTGAAATAAAGACTGAACAGGACTATGTAAAAGATTTAAAAGTGTATTTAATGAGTATTTTAATTAAAGATGATTTTTGATTCTAGTGATAAGACGAGAGAAATATCCAGGAGAGGCGATTTTGAAGAGTTTATAATCCTGGGCAGGTGGTGGTTGTCTGATGTCTAGGAATATCTCACTCCAAAGACCAAAGGAAAGGAGTTAAAATGTCTGACTGGGTTCCCACTCCAACAAGTCCATTTATGCATGACCAAGCCAACACCACAGCTGAGGAGAAAACAAAAATTATTACAAGATAATTAAGTATTAGGCTATTAACACTGAAGAAAGACAAAGGATGTTAAATTTACTTTACCATCACTGGTAACAACTTATAAAATGACAAAGAAAGGAAATATTATTGGTAAATCACCTTACCTGCTGAGAAGAGTGGAGGTCAAGTGACCACCCACACTTCAACCCACAACAGGTAAGGTCAGTACTACCAGGAGTAGAAACTAGAGTCCCAGACATGTGGAAATTGACGTTTTGGCAGCTGCCCGCTAGATGGCAGTGTTGATGGTGACACTAGAGGCTCCTAAGAGTCTCTACCTCCATACCTCCATTTCACCGACTTTTTCCTCACAAGGAAACTGGACAAGTATCCTTACCAGGAGCCAGATCAACCAGACTGTGATGGATGTGGGTCAGCAGGCAACCAGCCCGGACATGTACCATACAAGGAGTAGGAAAAATCTTGAAACGCATCATAGGTACAGTATAACAAAGGCCTTAATGCCAATGAGGGGCTCTTGGTCCAAGGAACTGGACTTACACCTCCCATTCCTCGGATCAAACCTGAACGCCTCTGATTCCTTAGGCAATATATGATCCTTATGGGTTTAATGCTAAGCTAAGAAAACCACATTTCATGTCTGCTAATTTTTTTTTTTATTATTTAAGGACACAGTATACAATCTACATGTTGTTATACATAAAACTTAACAAAAAAAGGCTCAACACTGAGAAAAAGAAGCCTAACTAGGAACGACACAGAAGAACCTACACATGAACATTCCTTAACAACAAAAGCTACAAAACAAAACCTGTTACACTTATGCATATTTTGTATAAAAACTTTATATACAAAACATTAAGTATACACCAAATCATTTCTCATACAATTGTTTTGTATAGTAACATATTACGTACATAGATTCTCGAAAACTAAAACCCCCTGACAATGTTTTCGAGGAGACTAAATCGTACTCCCCACACCCCATATAACCCAAATACACATCATATGGAACTTTGCATACTCTAGAATAAATGATAAATTATAAGAAATTTTTTTTTAAGATGTGTGCCTCCTCCCATCACCCACAAGGTACACAGTGTGAACAGGTGAAATATACTCTTAATCTGTGTGTATATACGTTCCTACCTCATTAACTTCCAAACAGGAAGGAATACTGAATAGGGCAATGTACAATGCCCACTCTCGTACACAGAACATCTAACATTGACAAAGTTAAATATACAGGAAATACATGAGCCTGGTGCACGCAGGCACCTCGCCCGTACTACAGTTGTTAAATAGGATAGGAATCCTAACATTAGTCTCTGGGGCAACAAAAACAAACCCCACATCTTTTACAACACAAATAATTCTTAGCTCATTATTTCCTAAATATTTTCACTTTGGTCCTTCTTTGAAAAGTATCGAAAGGACGCCTTGGCGAACCCACAGAAGCCCCATTTCAATAACAGAACACCCCACACTCTCACACAGACACGCACACAGACACACACCAGACACACACCACACGCAACAACACACACACTCAACACACACACACACACACAAAGGCCCTCACACAGACAGGCCTTACATCATGTTATCTCACATACACCACTGGAGCATCCACCATCACCTCTCTTCCTTACTACAATCATCTCCAAGTACTTATCACTCACCTCCGGAAACCAACCCCCTTTCTGCCTTTCCCCGCACCAACTGTAGCAGTCGTGCCACAGTCAGTCCCCAATAACTCTCCGGAAAAAGAGGGAACCCACTGACCCCCATATAAGCTCCTATTCTTACCCACCGACCTATAAAAACTCGCCGCTAAGGCCTTGATCCTGACATTACCCCCCACCTCCCTCATTCCCTAAGAAACATACAAAAAATCAACCATTATATACCTTAACGCCCTTGCTACCTCATTAGACACTCCTCCCACATCTAAAAGTAAAGCCCTAAGGACCCCCCTCCCCCCCAATAATCCAAAAACACCCCTCAACCACACCCTTACATTTTCCAAAAAAGGACAAAAGTACACTACATGGAAAGCATTTTCCACGTCACCACAATGCGCACATGAAGCATCACTCACATATCCCATCTGCCTCAACACCTCTTTTGATGCCAATGTCCCCATGAGGAATCTGTAAAACACTTCTCTCACCCTTGCAGGCATTCTTAGCTTTCGAAATTCCTCCTGTATTACCCTCCAATCATATGTGGGGAAGACAGCCACCCCTTGCAGCGTCTCCCGACGATACTCAACTCCCACCAGCCTCCCTATTCGCAAATGACGCACATCTCGCACTCTTAACATATACCTCAACATATCCTCACACACCTCCAGGTCCCTCCCACTCCACCAACAACGTAAGTCCCTCATCACCTCCCCCACACGCTGCCCCCAGACCCCCCTCACTGAGGTATCTCATCTTGACGTATATTGCCCTCACCCTGGGCCCCAATGCCAACAAACCCAATCCCCCCTGATGTACCCCAGTCATTACTACGTCACGTCCCAACCACGCCCTCCCATAACCCCATATATACAGACCCCTGGCAGTCTTCAAGCTGGCACTGGACAAGCACCTAAAGTCAGTTCCTGATCAGCCGGGCTGTGGCTCGTACGTTGGTTTGCGTGCAGCCAGCAGCAACAGCCTGGTTGATCAGGCGCTGATCCACCAGGAGGCCTGGTCACAGACCGGGCCGCGGGGGCGTTGACCCCCCGAAACTCTCCAGGTAAACTCCAGGTAATACCTTAATGCCCTCCTCTGGATGTCTGTTACATCACAATTTCTCAAGGGATATACTGCCGCCACTCCCCAAACCTTACTGTATACCAACGAATTCACAATCACAGCCCTTTGGTGCAACGTAACACCTCTGGCCAGAAGGCCACATAGCCTACCCACTGCCCTGTCCCTAACTGCCTCTGAATTAATCTTTCTACTGTCCTGCCTGTCCACTGTGTACCAAATCCCACAAATCTTAATCCATTCCATGACATTCCATCCAAACCCCTGACCCAATCTCCCGCCTACCCAGGTGCCCACCTCTAACAACCTTGACTTGCTTTTGTTTACCCTCATTCCTGTTATGGCCCCAAACTTCTCGATGACTCTACCCACCCTTGAAAAATCCTCCCTTCCACTAAGTAAGATCGTCGTATCATCAATGTAACCCACAACCCCCCGTCATTCCCCTCAACCCCCTCCCCACACAACTCTCGGTCTACAAGCTCATAAAATGGGTTCTGAACACAAGCAAATAATAGCTGTGAAAGCGGGCAACCCTGCCGCAAACCCCTCTCCATACAAATCCCAGAACCCAACCTACCGTTCACCTGCACACGCATGATTGCCCCCGCATATAATGCATCCACCCACCCTACCACTTTGGCACCAAAACCCAGATCACACAAACTCTCACGCAAAAACACCCTGTCCACACAATCATACGCATTCTCCCAATCTACCCCTAGAACCCCCCCCTCCACAGCCCTCTAAGAAATCCCTTATGCGCCCATGTCCATCCCGCATACTCCTCCCTGGAATCCCAAACTGACCTCCGTGTAAAAGCGATCTGAGAACCGCCTTCATTCTATTCCCTAGAATCTTTGCGAACACCTTATAGTCTGCGCACATTAAGGAAATTGCCCGGAAAGCACTCAGCGCCCGCGCCCCATCCTTCTTTGGTACTAATACTACTATGCCTGTACGTTGTGACTCACCCATTCTCTGTCCATCTAGCATATTTTTCAAAACCCCAACTAAACAATGCCTCACGCACCCCCAATGAGCCCTATAAAAATCAATAGGCAAACCGTCAATGCCTGGCGCCTTACCCGTGTGCATGCTGAAGACCGTGTCCGCCACCTCAGCCTCACTAATATCAGCCTCCAACCCCACCCTATCCTTTTCTCCTATAGCATTATGAACCCCCCTACCAAAAGACGCCTGACAGGTGCCCCGCCTCCCACACACTCTCCATTTTCTCCTGAACCATTCACCTGCATAAATGCTCATACTCTCAGTGGAGATGAGGACCGCACCTTCCGGGTAATCCCCCACCCAGGCACTAGTCTCTAACTGCAATAACGTGGTCACTCTCCTATGCTCCCTAAACTTACGCAACACATACCCAGTCGGTTTATCCCCCCACAACACATCGTCCAACCCTGAATGAAAACGTATTGCGTCAAAACGTTCATTATGAATCTCCTCAATCCTACCTCGAAGCAGTGCTATATCTTCCCCTCCCTCCCACCCCCCTCCCATAACATGCCTGCAACTGTCCCTCCAAATAATTCTGCAAACCATATCTCCATCTCGCTTCCTCACGGCCCTTGACCCTATAAAAATTCGCGATCCCAGGTTTCGCCCGCAGTTCCCACCATTCTACAAGCTCCATAGCCCGATCCCTAGCTCCCCAAAATCCATTCCACCACTCCTCAAACCCCCCCCCCCTTCCCCCTGAGCAGCCGCACATTCAACTTCCAATAGCCGGGGTAAATATGCACGGCACCTTCCCACTACAAATCCACTATCACTGCCCTATGGTCCGAGAAACCCACATCAAAAGTCTGCACCCTCCCGACCTCCAATCCCTGCATGACGTAAATCCTGTCTAGTCTTGCAGCATACCCCCTGCGAATGAACGTGTGCTCCACCATATAACCTCCTCCCCCTGCAACATCTACGACACCCACATCCCTCAACACTTCCCTCAGAACACTTAATACACAACCCGCCCCCCTCGGTTCAACATCCTGGCCCCGAATTACACAGTTCCAATCCCCACCAATAATCGTGATGGCAGGCAATCCCCGCAGATGGTACAATAAGTCTTCCCTCACAAAATCCGCTTTTACCCGTGTGTTGCTCGACGCCAGCACATACACTCCTATGAAACATGCCCTTCTATCACCCCATACACCATCTACCCGCACAACCCTCCCCCCTGCCTCCTCCCAGCCCGTGACACGCAAGGGGCTGGTCTCCTTTATCGCTATCGCCACCCCCCCCTTTCAACTGCCAAGCACAACTAATGTACAACTTATACCCATGCAACAACAACTCACTACCAATCTTATGATTATGTTCCTGCAAGAAACACACATCCACCTGGAACCTACGTAAGAACCATACTAACCACACAGTTTTGATCTCAGCCTTGAGACCGTTCACATTTAGAGTGACACACCTGAAATTTATAAGGACGGTGGCTTCCCTCTATGCCTCTGTGGCTTGCCTACCATACCTTTTCCTGTGCGTCGACCTGACGCCTCACCAGAGTTTCCCCTGGCTCCCTCCCCACCTTTTACCCTTTCACTACATAAATCAGGATCCACCAGATCCTTTTGGTCCAGCAACTCCTCATCCTTTGCCCAAGCTTTTTTGCCCGGCCTCTGCCCCGGCGTGAGTACCTCCTCGGCCTCAACCGTGCCAGCCGGCCTTTTCCTAGAACCACTACCCACACACATGTCTTCATCCGACAAATGCTCCTGATGGACCTCCACCT